GTCCATTCCACATGTATGACAGACTGGCATGTGTCACTACTGGACAAATAAATGCTATGCAGCATGCTATACAGGACATTGGCATCCCATTGGTTGGGAAAAGGCCTTTTATTGCAGCTTTCGCATGGAATGAAAGGGGAATTGTTCCATTCATGATGCTACTTAACTTCTTCCAGTTTACCATGAAACTCGTCCACAAGGCCCTATGCTGAAGACTAGGACTTCAAGGACTCGGGGGGCAGGGGGAGGGGGTGGGCTGTGGCGAACACATATAAGAATTGCTGTTGTTATTGATTGATTGTATTGTGTTAAATATGAAAAACTGCTGCAATAGAATTATTAAGCTAATGAGTGTTAGGACTAAGAAACCAAGCCAGAAGAATGACAGGCCGATATGCAAATGAGCCAACCCCAAGGTGGTTATACCGATAAACCAACTATGAGGTCACACCAAGCATAAAACCAAACCTCACTACCACTCATTCTTGTCTCCCTGAACGTTGGAGACTGTGCTGTCGGAGCCCTCCAAGCTCTGATGTAGAGGCAGACACCACTTGAGAGCGACCCTTCTCCTGATGACTGAGTGGCCATGGGGATTCCCAGAGCTCGGCTGGACTCCCCTCATTGGCTGAGAAATGTGCACAGTGAGTGAGGCTTGGGGAAGGCCTGAGTAAATTCCTGGCTGGCTATGGTAACATAGGACAGGACGTTAGTTAGGATCTGTGTGAGAGCGCTGTGTGGATTTGTTTGAATAAAACCTGTTCTCTGCAGTAAGAGTCTCCTGAGGACTGCTTACCCGTCCTTGATTGAACCATAAGTGCTCGTGACAGCCTTGACCTCCTGATCTCTGCCTCCTGAGTAGCTAGGCACCTGGCTTAGAATTTTTCTAAATTAGATTATACTCATGATGCACAACTTGCAAATTTATTAAAAAATCATTGAATTGTACAATTAAGAGAAGTGAATTGAATGGTATGTAAATTATATCTCAGTAAAGTTGTTTTTGAAAAGCATCTGTGGTCCCTGTTAGGTAGCACTTAACCATCAGTGATGGATGAGACAGGATAGATGAGGAGACAGGGAATTTATATTATTTTATAGCTATTAAAAGGGCCAGATTCAGACATTGAAACTAAAAAGTAAAAAACAAAACAAAAACCTAAAAATCCAGAGTAGCTGGCTACTTCCTCCCATCTCTTTTCAGATATTACATTATAAGAACAGGGTGGTCTGTATCCACCTTTCTCTTTGATATTGTAACAAGCTCCCAGGCTCCTTGGATGGGTGGACAATGTCTAGAAATCTGACTTTCTAAAAGAATCTCTGACTTTCCAGAAGAAGCTACTCCTGGCTCTGAGAGACAAAGCTGCAAAATGACAGAATCTTCAGAGACAACTGTTCAGAAAACAGTTTAAGAGGACACAATCGCAAGCAGTCTGTGTCTCCAACTTCTTAGAGGTACAAGTGGTGTTCAGCCACTTCAAAAGAACTGCACACAGCAGGGGACTTCTCCAGATCTATATAAAGTCAATTATGCCAGACCTGTAAAAGTAACCAAAGCCGAGAGATTTTTAAAAAGGGGCCAAAGGGGCTCTTACAACGTGCTCTAATATTTAAGCCTTCTAGTGTCTGGCAAAAGGCAAATTCGTATCTTTGGTCAAGACCTTCTGTTTAAGCAAAAGTGATGTGGCAGTTTCCACTAACTCTAGATCTGTCCTTTTAACAGTACTGAGCTGTTGATACGCTCTCTTATATTCTACTTTCAGTGGTACCTTACTTCTGCTTAGGGCCACTGTGAGTCTTCTTTCTGTACAGAACAGACTCCTATTGATGTTTACCCTCTAATTGGACTGACATATGCTCCTGGTACAACTGGCTCCTAATGTAGATATTACCCCAATCAGTCCTTAACTGCCCACTACAGTGCAGTCCAAACAGAGGGCCATGCAAGGGTTAAAAATAGCTATAGGTATAGACACCTATAGGAAAAATAACCAACAGATTCTGGTCGTCACTTTTAAAAATAAAAATTCAAATTCTTTTTCCTTCCTGCTATACCTGACAGAGGCCCTTCTGATTCTCTTATTAGTGTTCACATTTGGGTCATGCCTCTTAAACTAGCTAATCAGATTTGTCTTTTCCAGAATGAAGGCCTTCAGAATTCAAATTGTGATGCAACAGGGTTGTCAATCTTTGAAGGGGAATAAGATTCCCATGAACAAAGATTCAGACAGTGGACGTCATTAAGTTCCCAGGGACAGGAGTAGGAGGGGACAATATTCCTGATAGGGTCTGCAGCCCCTTGTCAGCTCAAAGTAGATACTGAAGACAGTTCGCTTCCCCCTTCAACAACCCTCCCCCCAAAAAGAATTTTTTGGAATATTTTCCCCAAGGGGGAAGTTGAGGCAGGTTAGAATTAGAGAAATTTTGGGACTAAGACCCCTCCCTGACTCACTGTAAGAGCTTCATTTTAATTACAATAAGTTAGAAAGAACAGGAACTTTTTCTCTCATGGGTGGGGCACGTGAGAATTCACACAGGTGTATATAGGAGTCCGCCCAGCTCCTCCTCCTGGCTCAAAGGTCAATGAAGCTAGGTAAGGACATATATTCTCTCCCCGCCTCCAAGTTTAAGGTGGTATAAAAACAACCTAAAATAAACCTCGCTTTGGCTCAGGGACTGCCAGTCCTCACCTGGCCCAGGGGTCACCTCTGTCCCTCTCCACTCATTGATTATTGGATGGGAATCATCTGGTTCCTCCCTTCCCATAGGTTATCATAGACTTTAAAAGCACCTGAAGAACAGATGCACTTGGGTTGCCTCCAGATTCCATCTTTACCCACGATGCTCGCTTTTGTAGTTACCTTTCCCCAACCTTTAATTCTATTTACACCCATATGTCCTGCCACGGATTCTTCCCTGAACAAAGAATTTGGAAGTCTTCTGATCACAGACTCCACCCTAAGGACAACAAATGTATATCTAATTTTATAGCCAGTTTTGCTTATCTCTGTCATATTTCTTTAGAATAGATGGCCAGAAGTGGCATCACTGAATCAAGAGTATAAAACTTCTTAGTCTTTTAACAAATTGTGGTAGCTGGGCGCTGGTGGTTCATACTTGTAATCCTGGCTAATCAGGAGGCAGAGATCAGGAGGACTGAGGTTCAAGGAAAACCCATCACAAGAAAAGGGCTGGTAGAATGGGTCAAGGTGTAGGCCCTGAGTTCAAACTCCAGGACCACACAAAAAAAAGTGATAGAATGCGTAACAGGTGCTTAAAAGCTGCTTTTGCAGGAAAGCACTGACTCTTTACTTGAGCCCACACATTAGCTGAAGGCAGGATAGAAGCAGGCATCCCAGCCTAGCACAAGTGTCTTTGCTCTGGTCATTCTCCCCTGTAGTCACTTTGCCATCACCTTGGAATCCAGGAAAGGCAGGAGTGATAAGTAACATCTTCACCACAGGAGGATACTACCCCCAAGAAAAAAAACAGCAGAGTCCTGGTACAGACCACCCTTCAAGCAAAAATCAACAATGCCATGTTTATTCTGTCCAGATTGCTCCCTAACAAGGACCAGGCCACACCTGTCATCATGACTATTAAATAATTATGCATACCATTCACCCCCTGCCCAATTCTTTCTCTAATGGGGTGAGTGGCTAGAGGGGACATGTGAAACCCCTGGGGTTGGGTGTGTGGCCTATGCCTTGAGTCCAGATCACTTTTTTTTTGTTATTGTTTTGTAGTACTGGGGTTTGAACTCAGGGGCTACACCTTGAGCCACTCCACTGGTCCTTTTTTTGTGATGGGTTTTTTCAAGGTAGGGTCTTGCTAACTATTTGCCTTGGCTGGCTTCGAACTGGAATCCTCCTGAGTAGTTAGAATTACAGGTGTAAGCCACAAGCTCCCGGCCAGATCAGTTTTGATAGGCAGTAAGCATTCAGTAAATACTTACTTATCAAAAACTCTTTCAAGTATGAATTAAAGTCCAGGATTATAGAAAAGCCTTTGACATTTGCTTAGTTGGATTCAAATTTTATTAACCCCTCCTAAAAAGCAATGGCACTATTTGGTTCCACAAAGGACCTGATAAGTGCTTACTAAGTAAACAATCAAGTCAAATGTAATCAATGAATCTGCACAGGCACATATTCAGAGTGACTTTCTCCCTTATCATGATACTACACTTGTAATACTGTTGCATAGTCATTAAGCAACCCAGAATAGAAAGGGAAGCTGAGATCTACCCACATGATCTCCTGGAGCCTCCCAAGAATTATTTTACTGATCTGCAGGTTTGTAATGGGGGGGCGTCCCAGGAATTAGGATTCTTGCAGGAAACACCATGCTGGGCTGGGAATGGCCCTGAGCCAGGGAAAAGACTCCCCCCGCCAAGGGACAGAAGGATAGCTCCCAGTTACACAATGGGGACCTAGCCAAATCTGTACATGCATAGTTCCTGGTTTTTATCTCATCTTTTCTAAATTGTAACACTGCTATGGGCAAGGCAGAATACGAGTTTCTCTGTCCCCAGTTTTGGCCAAAATAGTAAATAGATTCATTTTTATATATATCTATCGTGTTCCCACAGGAAATCAGATTACATTTCCTCATTAATCACCAAACCACTCAACTTTTGCACAAGTTTCCTTCCAAACCCAACTTTCACACAGAAGACAGGCCGTTTGGCATAATAGACACAGGGACTCTGCCATCTGCTGGGATCTCTTTTCCCCCAGCACCCCAGGGGTCCAGAGACCCTCCCCCCACCCCTACTCCAGAGCGCGCCCCTCCCCCACCATCTGACGTCACCAAGCCGGCTCGCTGGGCACAGGGGCCCCTGAGGACACCAACTGACCTCCCATCACCCAGACAGGCCTCAAGGGACAGCTGAGCAGCGCTGCCCCGGAGGTCTAGGAGCCAGGACTGAGGGGCCCCAGGGAGGACGCGACAGGGCTGGGCGAGGCTGGGACCTACCACCCCCGGCGCCAACGCACCTGTCAGGAGACTCGGCCACCCCGGGCGCCCTGGCTCCTGCGCGCTGTCTGCTCCCGCGTCCCGATTGCCCGCGCTCGGATCTGCGCGCTTCCGGACTCCGGGCGATCAGGGCTCCTGCGCTGACTTCGGGGCGCGGCCGCGCGCAGGCCCGGGGGAGCTCGGGGCCTCCGCCCTCACCGCCACCGACCCGCGGAGCGAGCGCCCCTTAGCGGGCACAGTCACCTGCACCGCCGGGGGAGCGGGGATCGGACCCGATCAGCGCCACGGTCAGGTCTTCAGTTTCACCTTTCAGACAGGATTCTGCCAGGAGGGATAAATCCAAAGTTGTTTCGGGGAGGTGGTGAGTGTACCGACTGGGGTGGAAGGGGGGAGTTCCTAGGGGTGGGAACTAAACTAATTTTGGGACCGGAAACTGGAGGTTTGGAATCAGGGAAACAGGAGAAGATGAATTTAGGACTGGGGAGGTAGGTCAGAGGTAGAGAAACCCGAGTTTTGGATCCCCAGGCTCAAACTCGTGGGCGTCCACATGCCCAGTCCAGCCACTCGCCCCTATATGCTAAATAAAGAGACATGAGAAAGGAGATTGATTACACTGCTGGGGACATACTGTGGGAAGAGGCAGAGTAAACACGCAGCCTACCTTCAGGGTACAGATGTGAGCGTTAGCTTTAAATAGGCAAAGAACTAGGGCTGGGGACAAAAGGTGTGCATTACCATGCACAGACCCAGGCACAGATGTGGCGGTTCTCTCAGTCCTTGATATTTGAGAGTTCCAGAGACTTTGTTATGGCTGTCATCACTTGAGGAGTGAATTCTGCTCCAGGGTGGATGCAGCCTCAGCATTATAGGTAATTGTCCTCATTTGGAGGGGTGGTCTATCCTGCAAGGCTCCACTGTTCCTTAGGGGTAGTTTTAGTTGCTTTGTCAAAAAGATGTTATCAGTCATTCCTATCCTTCCTTGAGTCCAAGGTGGCTGCGGGAGAATATGGCTCAGAGCAAAGGACAACAGGTACAAAATGGAGACTGAGATACCAAGCTTTTGTCCTGTTACATTAGTTAATTTTTGGGCCTAAGTATAGAGTCATTGCTTTTCAGCAAAAGTAGTTTATGCACCTCTTACAGCAGAGCTCTTGCCTAGCATGTACAAGGCCCTGGGTTCAATCTCCAGCACTGCAAAAAGGAAAAAGAAAAAAAAAAAAAAAACAAAGATTAAGTTTAGGATTCCCAAACTTTTAACAATGTCTCTAATTTGGAGACATTTGAAAGCTGGCTGCTGGCTGCTGGAGATACAGATCTGAGTGGGGAGTAATGGGATGGGAATAAGAGGAATAAAATGAGAGTAGAAGGGAACACAGAGGAGAGGGGATGGGGTTGAATCCTCGCTCCACCACTTATTACTCAGGTTGTGGACAAGGTACTGTGTCTAGGGTTCCAATTTCGTCTTACAACCTACCTTATAAGGTTGTATGAAATTCAACTTGATGTGACATCAGCAAAAATGGCATAGTAGGAAGGTCTAACCATCTCCAGAAATACTGAAAAAAAATTGGCAAAAACAAAAGTATCTTCCAAGAATGATGGAGAAAACATTAAGATATTCCCAGGCAAAGAAGTTGAGGGAATTCATTGCCAGCAGACTTGCCCTGCAGGTAATACTGAAGGTAGTCCTTTGCTCTGAAATGGAGGGTTAGCAGAAGGTAACTGTTAGAGATGAAAGAGGCGTGGAAGAGGCAGAGAGATGGCTCAAAGGCCAGCAAAGGGTTTATTGTTCAGGAAGGAACCCTGTGGAGGGGGATCCCAGCAAAAGAACTGGAACCCACAGCCCTTACAGACTTGGAGTAGATACAGGAGAGCGGTCTGCAGGGAAAACCCTGCTGGGTGGGAAAATTCTTCCGGAGTAGAGTCAACCATCACTAGTGGAAGCTAGAGGAGACAAGTAGTAACTAGGTAGATAAGTTGCTCAGGGAAGCCAGAGGAGATAAGTGGTAATTAGGTAGATAGTTGCTCAGTTTCGGAAGGAACCCCTGACAAGGTGGTGGCTTGTCATTTCCTTGAGGCTAGATGTGGTCCTTCCAGTGGGTGGTGGAGTGTCAGTAAACTGTCTGCAAGGGTGGAGGCTCCAATCCTAAGGTGGCTTCTTTTTGTTCACCCTAACAAACTTGAAGCCAGACGTGCCTGTAATCCCAGTACTAGATAGACTGAGGCAGGAGGATCTCAAGTTCAATGCCAGCCTGGGCTAAATAGGTCCCGTTTCAAAATAACAACAACAAAAAAGTACTGGTACAGATAAGACCATAGAAAAATAAAAAAATACATAGATAAATATAAAAACCAATAGTACCATACTGTGATTGTAATTCCTCTTCCCAGGTGATTTAATGAACAAATGCAAATGCATAAAATGATACTTATAAAGTTATGTTAATGGACACAATGTCTACAAATTTTTTTTGACAGCCTTGGGATTTGAACTCAGGGCCTCACACTTGCTAAGCAGACACTTGCTTGAGCCACTCTGCCAACCCTTTTTTGTGTTTTTTTATTCTTTATTCATATATTCATATGTGCATACATTGTTTGGGCCATTTCTCCACCTGCCCCCCACCCTCTCCTTCTCCCCCTCAACCTTCCTCGCTTCCAGGCAGAACCTGTTCTGCCCTTTTCTCCAATTTTATTGAGAAGACATAAGCAATAATAAGAAAGATGAAGCATTTTTGTTAGTTGAGATAAGGATAGCTATACGGAGAGATTCCTAGCATTGCTTCCATGCAGAAGAGTATTACAACCCAAATTGAGTCATCTCTACCTGATCTCTTCTCTACTTCCCCGTCACCTTCCCATATTGACCTCTGTCGCTTTAAGGTTTCTGTATTAGCTCCTCAGCAGTGGGGACATCAAACACTTTCAAGTTTTGGGTTTCTTACCTATCCCCATTCCTCCCATATGTGCTCTCCCCTTAGCATGTGACCCAAGTCCAACCACATTACTGCCTTTGCCCTAGATCTAAAGTCTGCATATGAGGGAGAACATAAGATTTTTGGTCTTCTGAGCCTGGCTAACCTCGCTCAGGATGATGTTCTCTAGTTCCTTCCATTTACTTTCGAATGATAAGATTTCATTCTTCTTCATGGCTGAGTAAAATTCCATTATGTATAAATATCACATTTTCTTAATCCATTCGTCAATAGTGGGGCATCTTGGCTGTTTCCATAACTTGGCTATTGTGAATAGCTCTGCAATAAACATGGGTGTGCAGGTGCCTCTGGAGTAACCTGTGTCGCATTCCTTTGGGTATATCCTCAAGAGTGGTATTGCTGGATCATATGGCAGATCTAGGTTTAGATTTTTAAGAAGCCTCCATATTGTTTTCCAGAGTGGTTGCACTAGTTTGCATTCCCACCAGCAGTGTATGAGGGTTCCTTTTTCCCCACATCCTCGACAACACCTGTTGTTGGTGGAATCTTAGTGTGGTTTTGATTTGCATTCCCTTTATGGCCACCAGAGATGGTGAGCATTTTTTCATGAGTTTTTTGACCATTTGAATGTCTTCTTTTGAAAAAGTTCTGTTTAGTTCACTTGCCCATTTCTTTATTGGTTCATTGATTTTGAGAGAGTTTAGTTTTTTGAGTTCCCTGTATATTCTGGTTATCAGTCCTTTGTCTGATGTATAGCTGGCAAATATTTTCTCCCACTCTGTGGGTGGTCTCACTATACCACTTGCTAGGCAGACACTCTACTGCTTGAGCCACTCTGCCAGCCCTTTGTGTGTGTGTGTGTGTGTGTGTGTGTGTGTGTGTGTGTTTTGAACTGAAGTTTGAACTTGGGGCTTCTTGCTTGCTAGGCAGGTGCTTTACCACTCCCCCAGTCCTTTTTGTATTGGGTATTTTCGAGATAGGGTTTCATGAACTATTTGCTGGCTTTGAACCATGATCCTCCTGATCTCTGCTTTCTGAGTAGCTAGGATTATAGATGTGAGCCCTGGTGCTGGGCTCACAATGTCTAAAGATTTAATTTACAACAATAACCCATAAAAAGAGAGGGTTGGAGATTATAAGGAGCATAGTTTGTGTGTGTGTGTGTGTGTGTGTGTGTGTTTTATATGGATAGACCATTTGTTCGACCACAGAACGATTTTAAGTAAACTTAAAATAAAGTCACAGAGAGTAACATCCTGAACATGTGGAATGGAAGCTAGAAATCAGTAACAGGGAAAATTGGAAGACAAGATTACTTGGAAATTAAATATGCATATTTAATCTATGGGTAAAGAAGAAATCACAGGGGAATTAGAAAATATTTTGAGAGAATGAAAGGAAAAACACAGCATACCACAACTTATGGAATGAAGCAAAAATGTTCAGAAGGAAGTTTATTCCTGTAAATCCTACATTAGGAAAGAAAAAAGAGATCCCAAATCAGCAATCTAAGTGAACTAGGCAAAAAAAAAAAAAAAAGAGCAAACTAAATCCAAAGTCCCCAGAAGAAGGAGATAATGATAAAGCAGAGGTAAAGGAAACAGAAGGAAGCAGAGGTGGGAGAATGGTGAGTTTGAGGTGAGCCTGGGCTAGGACACCCTGTGTTAACAAGAAGAGAAACAGAGAATCTAAAAACAGTAGAGGCCAGGCACAGTAGCACACAGGCCCAACTGCTCAGGAGGCTGAGGCAGCAGAATTTCTTGAACCAAGGAATCTTAAACTGAGTGTTGTGGTCCACTTCTGTAATCTTAGTACTCAGGAGGCAGAGGAGGAGGATCTCAAATTCAAGGGCAGCCTGGACGACATAGTGAAATGTCTCAAAAAATAAACTGTAGGTGAAGTGGCTCAAGAGTAAAATGCCTGCCTAGCAAGTGTGAGGCCCTGAGTTCAAACCCCCCAGTGCAGTAAAAATAAAACCATACCAGACTTATAAATGTTTTATATAACTATTACATAAATAATTATGTAAGTAAATCTAAATTATTGGGGCTCAAGGTATAGCTCAGTGATAAAGCACCTGCTTAGCATGTACAAAATCCTGGATTTAAGTACTAGCATCTGCACCCCCAATCTAAATTATTATTTTCAAGAAGAAAGTAAAAATACATGTGTGTCAAAAAAAAAAATACATGTGTGTCAACTGGCATAGTATTGCTTTGCTGTTAGCACAGCAAAGATTCAGGCCAGAATTCTCCCTTGTGGTGTACTGAAGATTATGGTCAGACATTCTGGATTGTGGTTGATGTGATATTGATAATCCCTTTGTTGTA